CTGTTTTCGAATCTATGCATTTCCAATATACAAAGATCATATTTTCAATTGTTTTTTCTAGGGATGGATCAGTTCGGTCCAGTCCGTCCTGGTCCCTGGTAAGACCAGTTCATTAATGTTTTTGGTCCAGTCTTGGTCCTAAAAAAACGGTCCTTAGTTATTTAAAACTCTAACAATTTTATTTGCTACGTAGCAGAGAGATTCAAATCGTATGATATCAGTAATCGAAATTAGCAATTACGTAGTATACTTTTTTTAATAATTGTAATTTGTTATTTTTAACTATTTATGAAGACTGGTCCAAACTAGTCTCAAGACCGAGGATTGAATAACTGTGTGACTGGTTAAAAGACTGATCCTTATTCGGTTTTTTCAGGACCTGTCCATCCCTATATACACCTATGCTAAAATAATTTTATACGAGTTATAATTGAGTTACATAAAAAAATCCATTACCTTGGTTATGCTATCTAAACCTGAAGATAAGCACAGAATAACGCCAACTTGCATGTATAAATTACGAGTACTTGCATGTGAAATAAAGTAAATAAAGTATATTGTACTACGAAGTTTCAGTGCTGAGTATTTGGTTTAGTGTTTTAAAATTTGTTTACACGCATAGTGAGTTACTATATAAGCAAGAAATAATGTTCATAGGCATTATTTTAAAAATCGAGCCCTTTAAATAATATCTTATATTGTCTCAGAATAGGCTATTAACATCCAAACTATCGCGCATTTAAGATAACATGTCAGTATATTCAAAAAAAAAAACATAAATATAAATTTGTGTGGCCTTCGCGTGTATAGTGTATATAAAATTAGTTATCAAAACTTGTATTATATTATAGCGATAACAATTTACTTCTAGGTCACATTAACACAAAGTGTAAATATGTATACTTTAAAAGTAATTGACTTTTATTTTGAAATAATGCGCAAGTAGATATTATTTTACACTTATACAGTACTACAAACTTTATTATATAAGTTCAAAAGTTTTGAGATAATGCTCATAGATATTATTTTATTAAAAATTTGGTTATTTTCAGGCATCTTTGTGTTTAAAAATATTGAAATAACACCCATGAGCATTATTTTGCTAAAAAAGAACAAAATTCTAAGAATTATACACCAGGAATAATATGTAATATTAGAAAAAACATAATATTATAAATAGTAAATGTTTTTTTTTTCACAGAATAATATTAAATAAATTAATAATAAATAAATTTATTGAATATGCTTTGGTTAATCAATAATATGTCAAGATACAAAGCTTTACTTATATTACGAAATAAAATTATACAAAATTTATATTTTGGATTATGTGCTAAAGATTGGTGGATTTCTTGCTAAACTAATAATAATATAGCATATATACTTCTCTATCTAGTTCGTCTTGGTATAAAAACTATAACTACAATAAATCAGTATGACTTTATAATTATAGTAGTTCAAGACAGTTTTGAACTCAAATATATATATCAATCTGAAGTATTATGAAGCAATATATGTAAAAGTTTATCAGAATCAATTACCTCTATGTATCAACAAGCTTTTCTTACAAAAACTAGATTAGACAGTCTTTTAGTAATAGGATTTGATGATTCTGAAATATACAAAATATTACTCTTTGATATATATTTTCATCTTTATACTTTTAAAATTGGGAACTTAAATTTGACTATTTTTAAAATTAGTAGATCGAATAATTCTAATTAGAATTATGCTGAAAAAGGATACTAAAGTTTTTTTATTCATAATTTTCACAAAACTTGAGTATTATTGTTTCGACATTTAGTAATAAAGAAGCAATTGTTAAAATATATCAAAATTCTCAAGTAATATATGTTTTTCATAATACTGACCCTAATACAGTTTGGAATAAAATCAGATATTAGTACAATTTATAGGAAGCATACTATTTGAGCTCAAATACGAATGAACAAAATCAGAAATCAATAGAGAACAAACTCTTTCATGTATTATAGAAAATTAGCAAAATGAACAAATTATGAATAAGCTTTATACTTATTATCTAAAAAAGTATATCACAGTCTATTGAATGGAAAAACTTGTTTATTAGCTAGCAAAATCAAGAAAGTAATATTATTGAATTAACAACATAACTGAAAAAAATATACTTACCAGATTATACAATTAAAGATCGTGAATTTTGTGCTTAGAAATCTTTATTATATTATACTAGATATACTAATATAATACTTTTTGGAAAAGAATTTACAGTAAGTAATAAAAAAAATATATATACCTATTTCTCTTATATATATACTGCCCTTTGTAAGTTATACTATCATATAGTTTTAGAAACCAAATCTCGATTTATACTCAGGCACCAAATATATATCCTTATTCATATAATATATATCTTCTATATATATCAAAAAGTTATTGTAACTCAAATCCTTAAAAACTATTTACTAACAAAGAAAGAAAAATTGATACTAAATTATCAAAGATTCAGCATACAATTGTCAACTATTCAGCAAAAATATTCAGCTACTGAATGGTATAATCACTGCCATTTAGCATTTATTAATGCTGAGTAGCTGCAATTATACTATTCAGTAGCTGAATATTTGATGAATGTTTGCTTAATAGTTGATAATTGTATGCTAAATCTTTGATGATTTAGTATCAATTTTTCTTTTTTTTGACTAGTAATTTTCTCTAAAAAATATAATTCTAATTAAAATCAAGATTATGTTCTTTCAAGAAAATAACTTTCAGAAAAACTAGCCTGAACTCAGAGAAGAGACTATAGTATATATATAATATATATAATTTAATTCCTAATATTTATAGTTTGAATTTTAGACTTGATCAAAGGATTTAGCAAAAGATCAAGCAATGTTAAAGCAGCTATATGAATGTGGATATCTTCAAACTACTTCAAAGAACTACAAAAATATCACAAATCAATTTTGGAATGCCTTTCAAGATGTCTTAGATAGTAATATTTATAGAGTAGATAGAAAGTAAAGAATATTATCTATTATTGCTGATAAACTTCCCTATGACATAATCAAAAAAATTTATCTGTAAGTATTTAGAAAGCAATATTAATATGGGTATTTGCCTTGAAAATAACCTTATATTATATAGTAACTATGTACTATAAGGCTATTTTCAAATCAAAGGTCTCATAAATTAAAGCATTGAACAAAAATTTAATAATTAATATTCATCTTAGGTTTTGAATTATTTAATTGCTGAAGTATATTATTAAGTATGCGTTAATAGCTTAGGGAGTATTCAATTAGAAAAGCCTAAAGTTACTCGAAAAAAGTTAGCATCTAAAAAAAAGAATAGTTAGAATATTTTTTTTAAAATAAAGCAAATATAATAATGAGTTCTTACAAGACAGATAAAGTTACTGAATTACCTATTCATTATTTAAAAGATAGTAAAGAGGCTTTATAGGAAAGATTTTATAAAGAGTATCCAAATAGCACTAAAAGAACAATATTTTATAAATATTTAGAAAGTAGCTAATATATTTATAAGAAAGATTTAGATAGTTTTTGCTCAATTTGTAATATATATGGATATGAAACATTTGATGAACTTCAAAAAATAATACAAAACTATGCAGATTTGAATTATCAGATAAATTTATATAATATAATTATATTTCCAAATAAAAAATCTAGCTACCTTAAATTCTATTTAACATGCTTTTCAATATGGGTCTCTGCTATGATATAGCTATACTAATTTAAAATTATATTTGTTACATACCCCTTTTTCCCTTCTCTCTCTCTCTCTCTAGATATATAGTTTAAGCAATATAATTTTAATATAAAATTATCACTAGTTGAAATTAAAAAATTTGACATGTTTTTTTTTTTTTTTTTTTTTTTATTGATACAACATGGCATCGGCCGAACTTTTTATTGGTATTGATAGTGAGTAAA